CAGCGTACTTCCCTGAGCAGTTGCGGCAGCTCTTCCGCTCGGTCAGCATACATGCTGTCGTCAGGGCTGATCCACCGCACAATCGCCTCGAAGACCTTCTCCTCGCTCTCAATCTGCAGGTCATCCGCCCGCAGGAGGGTCAACAGTTGATCAACTGGCAGGTGCAGGAACAGGTCTGTTGCGACAGTGGCCTCAAAGTATACTTTCATGTGTCGTAGGCAGGCGGTCTCCAACGGTTCAACGCTCATGGACTTTGCGAAATCCCAGTTACTTGCCAGATTTTCGGTGGTAATCCTTCAGGAAAAATTGCAGTTAGGCAGAAGACAAAACAGTGACTGTGTTCTTTCTCTCTGGACTAAGTCCAGTACACATAAAACTATTTTGAACGATAGTATTGGCCTTGGGAAGGCCGATAAACATTAAAGCAGAAAGTAAGTAAATAATAACTATATTGGCAGTGGAAGTACAAAAAAACGCTGCGAAACGTGCTTCGCCGGCATTCTGCCGCCGCTTGAGAGGGGTCCGGCCCATCAGGTCGGTTTCCCAGCATTCCCTATGTGTCTTCTGGTAGATACTCCAATGTTTGAGATTGCAGCTTTTTAATTTCCCCAGACATTAATTTATAACATGGAATATGTAAGCATATTCAAGGGACCACTGACGCAGACCGAACCCTATAGGGCCCTGTGGGATAATCGCGTTAAAGCGGGTACATACGTACCTGGGCTTTTAGTTTGCGTCTGTGCTGTCACTAAGGCCAGTAATCACGCAAGTTTTTATAATGACTGTCTGTTGGCAGCTTGTGAATATTCGTTAACCGAGGTTCCACTGTAAGAAGTTTTACTGAATACGATTTAGTGAACAAAATACTTCCCCTGTCACTCAAAATCCTTACAAGTATTTGATAAAGGGACAACTTCCAATCGGACCATGGGAGTGCAGGGGATAAGCGAGGAGGAGGAATAATAAACATATTAAATAGTACCTGGTAGCCAAATAACCTCCAGCCCACGTCTCCACGCATGAGAGGGAAACCTCCCTTGCCAAAAGGATCAGTTCCATGGCATTTTCTTCGCTGACCGTCAGCTGGCCGGTGTACACATAAGTTATGAAGGCAGAGGCAGATCTAACAACAGGGAATATCATATGCGTAGGACTCTCACATTAGGGAAAATGACGGCCAGTGAAGAACTGAGTTACGCCTTGTTGGAGGCTCCTTCAGTTCTTCATACATGGAGGGTATCCGTGCAGCCAAGATTAATCTATGCACATGCAATTTCTCCTTGTCTTTTAACTGAAAACAAAACAAACAATCAAGCCGGCAATGAAGCGGTTACTGTCTTACTTGAATATTCAGATCAGTCAGCTTATTATCAGCGCGGATTACATCCAGGGTAGGGCAACATCTAATGAAGGCGTTCTCATCCTCGTATAATTGAACAAGTGGAGGAGTCACTTCGTGTGCTCCTATAGACAAACGCGTAGTGCCCCTACGAAGACGAATTTCACGGTTAATGTTTGAGTAAACCAGACATAAGTCAGGGCCTAAACCGATCCGATCCACTATTGCGGTGTCACTATTCATAGTAATGTTAGATTTCATTCTGAGAGGCATACAGAGTAACCATTGGAGTAGCGAGGTATACAAAATCCTATTGGTATCGGACTAAATCATCCCAAGAATTTCAGTTTTTGACCATATGTTGCCGAAAAAACTGTCAAACCCTGTTAACAGGAATTGTGAATGTGTAGATTGCCAATTTAAACATCACCTGCTACGCTAAGTGGTACAGTAAAGTACAAATAATTTTTATGAATACCCCACAAACTTGCCTAGCTTCTTCACAATCAACCTATTCGCTTTCAAAATATGTACATATCTTTTGGGCGAATAAGCGCGTTTCCGGGCATATATGAGAAGACGAAGCGATCACAGGAACAGTAGGTTTAATTTCCGGACGTTTCAAAAGCGTACAGGCTTCTATCGTCGGTGGTGGGTTCTTCGCGGCACCTCACAGTATTAATGAGTGTCGAACTGGCGTCCTGTTTACTCTGCATCTGTTGGTGTCGGTTGCCATCACTGGTCATCCTGCCGAACAGTGTTTCTCACCCTCACTTCGTCGGAGGGGAGGGTGGTGTTGTGATCTCAACGGTCATTGGGCTTGTCTGCATTGAGCGCGTCTGTTGTTGAAGGCCGCGTGTCTTGTCCTCGTCCCCTGTTTGCGTCTGTCCGTGCGCATCTTGTTGGTAATGGCCGCGTCATTACGAGTGTCCCCGTTCCTATCAAGGCGATGATCCCCCTCATCACTGTTTAGGCATAAACCGTTGTCATGTGTCTCTGTGTTCAAGCTCGATAGGAGGTCTTGGTAGTTCAGGTTCCACGCGGCACCCCCTTACGGCTGCGTTGATGCCTTATATACGTGGTCGCACGCCTGTATTCGCGCGCAGTATGGAGGTGCTAGTGATCGCGACCCGCCTGACTTCCTGCCGGCAACTTTGTTGA